CTACGATCAAAGGTGAGCATCACGTGCAGTACGTGTATCCGTCATTAAGCATCTCAAGTTTCAGTAAACTGGTCTTGCAGCTCGATAACTTGGAAAATCAATTGATTTCGTTGTTGATCAGAAAATATGGGGCCTCCTCAACTGCCAACTGGTCAAAGATGGCAAGATATTGGTATGCGGAATGCTGGCATGCCATTGAGGGCTATTGCAAGAGAAGTTGATACTCATCCGTCGACTCTCAGCTGACTGGCCATAAAACATCAGCACACTAATGACGTTCAGGTCGACCACGAGAAACAACTCCAAGGGAGCATACAGCACTTCCTAGGTCACGGCTAAGGGTCCACTGGTCGGACAAAAGTCCATTTGTTTTGTTCATGACTGATGGCCGAGCTCGTGTTGGGCACCGTTTGGCGGAGGATCATTGATGGTGTAGGGGTGCCCCTCACATGACTGCACGCTTGACCACGTGTCGAGCACAAATCTGAATGGACAATTGTCCACCCCTGACATTCAGGACATGGTTGTTGTACCACAATTTAATGACACAACTAGACCAGTCTTCACGGACCACAATTCTAGGCCACTTCATGGTCGTGCCGCTGGTGATTTCAAGAGGCGATGGCAACCCAACCAGATCCAGAGTCCAGATCTCAACCTAATAGATATTTTATGGTAATTACATGTATGGACTGATATTATATGAAAATTACGTGTATGATGTGATATGGTTTGGATAAAACATGTAATATGTGATATTGTATGCTAATGTATGCAAAGTGTATTACATTTAAGATACCATAATATGCTATTTTAGTGTACAGTATGACATTTAGGATTTGAACATTTATGACATTTTTATTGTCTTGTACAGTGCAATAACACATGTATATGGTGCCGTAGGCATGAAATGTTTAAAGGATTGAGTGAGTGAGTTTTAGCAATATTCCAGCAATATCACAGCGGGGGACACCAGAAAAGGGCTTCACACATTGCACCCATGTGGGGGATCAAACCCAGGCCTTCCGCGTGACGAGCTAACGATTAACCACTTGGCAACCTCCCCGCCCCTTGAATGAATGATATTGTATTAAGTTTTATGGCGTTGTTTGTTAAACAGTGGGAGTACATAATTGATCACGTGATAAGGACAAATACTGTTTTTTTGTGACGTAAAATGAATACGGTGTCCCATGGTATGACCCCAGTGACATGTCACCCCTTTGTAGCATGAACTGCCTGGATCACAGACCTTACATTAGACAGTATTTGAATCAACATTTGCAACAAAGCTGGGCTACCGCGGTTTAGAATAACCATCATGCCATCAATTAGAGGTCGCCCTCTTCTGGTCTCCCGCCATGATGAAGTATGGTTACGTTGCCACACTGGACACAGTTATTACACAAATTCAGTTTTCCTAAAAGACGAAGACCCTCATCCCAGCATCCCTTGCAACAGTCCAGTTTCTATCAAGCACATTTTGCTTGATTGTGTTGATTTTGCTATAATCAGACAACGGGTTTGTGATAGTATTCATACTTCATCCGAACCTTTAAAGAACAGTATCTAACATCCTGATCTTATCTTATTTAAAAGAAAACAAGCTATACGATAAATCTAAGTTTATCCTAATAGTCAATTTATACCTTTGAATGTAATATTTGACAGCGATAATAATTCATATCACTTGCATTGTAAATGTTAACATGTAGTTAAAGTAATGCCATTTCTTCCCGCTCTCTCCCAATTGCGTAGATCGATGCTCATGTTGTTGATCACTGGATTGTCTGGTCCAGACTCGATTATTTACAGACCGGTGCCATATTGCCGACGTTAAACAACAACCAACCAATCTTTCCGCTCTGCGGCGTCAAACAATATTCATTCACTGACGTTGTATCTGCACTCTTGCAGCTAGTGTTGACAACAGTGTTCCATCGTCTCGATCTGCCATGATGGTCTGACTTACACCAGCGCTTCGCTGTGCTTTGTAACGGAAACAAGGTGGTGTGAGTTAGTGAAGGCAGCAACATGTGGTGCAGCTTTGTAACGGATTGAGCATTGAGATGAAAAGTAATATAGGGCAATGTAGCGGTGTAGCAGACATCGCTGTTATCGGATACTCAGAAGAAATGTATATAAATAGCGAAACGACAGCGAATATTTAACATTAAGCTTTTAGACTTCAAATTGTAGTCAAGGAAAAAAAATTATTTTCCCAAGTGTTGCATATTTCTTGTATGCGCAATGGTTTAAAAAAAACACGCTTACATTATAATATGGCGAATAGTCTATTAAGTGTTACACAAAACGCGCATTTGGATTATGATAATAATTTATGAGCGAGCAGCTGTTGATATAAAACAGAACAAAACAACGCGATGATGAGACAGTTTTAGATTAGCCATACATGTGTGGGTAGTGTATTTGGGATGATTAGCATTTAATATTTGTATCTGTAAAGAGAGTCCTTAATACCACCCATCTTGATAACCACCATACAATATACACTATTGTGTTATCTCGTTAGGAACAGCAGTTTTCCTAACAGAGAAACCTCTCTGAGCCGGATCCTGGCAATCCGGACACCAACGTTTCTGACAATTGCTGCGGACAACGATGACAAAAATATATAATGGCATTACACCATACTGATTTGCTAACTTGGAAGTCTGTAAATCCCAACAATATCAGTTGAAACTCTACCGATTTTGCTATATATTCGTTCCAGTTTTATATCTGCGTCTTGTCAGATGTTCCGTTTTTATTCAAATACTTATTATATGCCAGTCAAATGTTAACATGTCATCTTACCAAAGCAAAAGGATGAATCAATGCACAAATTCAGTGTCCTCAGCTTCATCATACACGAAGACAAGATGCCATCAGGGTAGACTTTGACACGGGTTATAGGTCTGTTGAGAGCCAGGTGACATTTTGGGCAATGAGTCTAAAACCATCAATACCCATCTGCGCATAATGGCCCAGACAGTTGCCATTAAAGTCATAGCTCTCGGCAGCTAAACAAACTTTGGTCGTCGATGGTCATTATGCTGTATTATTGAAGGTAGAATGTCAGGCAAGAAACTCCCTCTGTGGCTGTGTAGCTGAGGCAGATGAGATCACTGGTTTCTTATTGTCTTCGAATGTCTGCGAAATATGATAGAACGGACGTAAATGAGATATGTCATATTCCACGTAATCAATTACAAAGTTCAAAAGTTAGCAAATATAATCATATCAAACGTCATGGATTTGTTTCAAGTTATGAGATTTTGAGGATTATGTTTTCAGAGAACCTTAAAACCATAGACGTCTATTATGACATCACAGTCAGTGTTAGTATGGCATGCCTATGATGGCTCTATGGACATGTCTGTCAAAGGATAGCAGTAGTTTATTTCATAAAGTAATATAGGCCATAGGCCCAGGCTACACATTGACAATTACAGTGAGAAGGTATGTTATAACGAAGACTGTCTCAGTAACACAGCTTGATATATATAATGTTGATAAATGTTGACTCTATGGACATGTCTGTCCATGGTGAATCTATGAACATGTCTGTCTCATGACGACTCTATGGACATGTCTGTCTCATGGTGACTCTATGGACATGTCTGTCTCATGGTGACTCTATGGACATGTCTGTCAATGGTGACTCTATGGACATGTCTGTCCATGGTGAATCTATGGACATGTCTGTCCATGGTGAATCTATGGACATGTCTGTCCATGGTGAATCTATGGACATGTCTGTCCATGATGACTCTATGGACATGTCTGTATGTCTGTCCATGGTGAATCATGGTGATGACTCTATGGACATGTCTGTCAATGGTGACTCTATGGACATGTCTGTCCATGGTGAATCTATGGACATGTCTGTCCATGGTGAATCTATGGACATGTCTGTCAATGCTGACTCTATGGACATGTCTGTCAATGCTGACTCTATGGACATGTCTGTCATGGTGAATCTATGATGCCTCTATGGACATGTCTGCCAATGCTGACTCTATGGACATGTCTGTCAATGCTGACTCTATGGACATGTCTGTCAATGCTGACTCTATGGACATGTCTGTCAATGCTGACTCTATGGACATGTCTGTCAATGCCCATGGTGAATCTATGGACATGTCTGTCAATGCTGACTCTATGGACATGTCTGTCACATGATGACTCTATGGACATGTCTGTCACATGATGACTCTATGGACATGTCTGGCCATTGTGAATCTATGGACATGTCTCTCGCGTCATCGTGCCAGCCGGGGTCTATCTCCATCGATATGTTAAGCATGCATGTCTCGAGAAATGGATGGTACCTATCCCGAAACGTCTTAGCTCGACATATCAGACTGAATATTGCCTATCTCGTCATTCTGGCTAAGGTTATCTTTTGTTTTAATTGTGTCTATCTGTACATATCAGTAATGAATGCCACAATGAATCCTATATTTTATCTCACGTTTTCTCACCTTCACTGATAATTATCCCTCGGTTACTCGAACTTGCTTATCTCGCAGTACCAAGTCAGCTACAAATTAAGTAAACACCGTTTATAACGAGCACGTTTATAACGAACTGATGGACACAACGAACATGTTTTAGGTTCCGGTCACTTGATGCATATTTTAGTTGAAACGCTTATATCGAACTTCGGTTATAACGAACTAAAATTAGTGGTCCATTTGAATATAACCGTGGTTTGCTGTACTCAATTTACCCTTTGTGACGAACAGTACTAAGCAGTAACGGTCTATTTCCGTCAACTTCGACATAGCAGTATTTCTGTGTACGTCGAAGTATCGACAATTCTCTATCTCGAATCAGTCAGCCGTAGTTAGGAGGTGTACTAAGTCGCCTGTAGACGATGTGGGGGTTAGGCCGATCGATCAGCTGACGGGCAGGCCACATCGGCACCTCTACATCGCCACAGCCTGCACGCTCAGTCAGGATTCGGTCTGACATCCACAGTCTCTCTGTTTCAGGGGTTGTGTAAAGCTAGGGGTACGGCGGACAGACGCTGGGGGGTACGACATCATCCCCGCGGGGGAAGGGGACATCGAGAATCACACCTACATACGGTAAGTGTCTTTTAATTATATCCTATTTGCATGAACTTCATAACGTTCACGACTTCACCTTCATCGATGCAAGTTTTTATTCAATTTAATTCTAAACGTACATTGATCAATATTTAGTTGTATGAAATGATCGATATTATACAGACTGCGCTGTCACACACTGAAGGGTTAACAGTTTATGTAGGAAAATCACAATAACTTTACAATCATTGTCATATAATGGTTATAGGATAAACAGTTTCATTACTTCCCAAACTAATATCAAATATCAAATATAGTTTCTTTATTAAATTTACTTGACACTTGCGTGTATATTAATACACAACAGTATAACAAGTTTTAGCAACGGATTAAAATTTAATATGTTAAAGAGAACAACGAATTCACGATGAACGTACCACTAGTTGGTTTTATGGTTAGACATAAGCAGTTTTGTTTTCGTTTAAAAATTTGAATCAATAAAACTATATTCCTTTGAGGGAGTGAGAGTGCATTACAGCTGTATGTTTGGCCCTCTTTAGTGACGGCAGACTGAAATAATCGAAATTTAAATTTTGCGTTAATGAATTTTTAAACTTGTTGATTGTTGTAAACTGAAGAGAACTGTAGCGGATGCGGGCTAGGATGGAGATGATGGATGTGATAACATTCCACATCCAGGATGACACTTGAATGGTGATGTTCCTAACAATTTTAAACTGAAATATAGAACGTAGGAAAACGCTTGTCAAAACGTATTACTGGACAACGAGCACTGACCTAGATGTATCCTACTACAGCTACATCGTGGGAGGCGATGTGTTCGTTGATGTTCGTGTTTGTAAGTATATTGGACGGACTCTATATTAAAGAACACCCGGTGTCATCTCTCATTGATACGTTTACTGTCTGACTTGTAGGGTACTGTAACATATGACAAAGTCAAACCAATGGAAACAAACACAAACATTACAACAAATTCATCCGTAAATAAATACATTACAATGACGTCATATTTAATTTAATTATTCCTAAAATGTATTTCAGCAGTGTTAATTGCTTAGTCTTTATTTGCATTTCATGTTTGTTTGATATATTTACAATATACATAACAAAGATTGCGTCAGCCTACATAATTAACCAACATCAGCGTAATATGGGTCTTTCCAATACATGTAGATCCACGTGTACATAACTAGTACATACAGGGTCACAAAGCGTCCCCACGTCCCTGCAACAATAGCAGTGTACAACTACATGTTTGTTTTATTCTCTAGCGTGGGTATTGCATGTGACGTTTGATATTATGTGGCGTTTAACATGACGGGACTTCAACGCTCGTCGTTCCTACCACCAGCCGCCAGATGTCGCTCTGTGTGTGCTTTGTTGGTATTACAATTACCAGTGTGTTGATAAAGGTCATATCGCAACTCGTAAACAGTCAGCTTTGATAAGTTACACTGCTGAATAAACAAAGGTATATCGGCTCCCTTACAGCACCAAGACGTCACACGTTTCTATTTGTCATTTCGGTTTTATTCCCGACAGATGATAAATATAGAATATCTAAATGAGAGAGTGAGGCAGTGGTTTCTCAGACTGAGGTAATGGCATGGAACGTACGAGCTTTGATAACTAGAATAACTTATTCTTAAATATATCTGCCAACATTCCTGAAATATACTTTATTCATAAATATCTGCTAAATTCATGAAAAAATAATTTATTCATAAATATATCTGCCAAGATTCATTAAATATAGTTTATTCATAAATGTCTGCCAAGATTCAAGAAAAATAGTTTAATTCACTTTGCTTTAGAATAAATTTATATCCAGGGCCGTAGGTAGCCAAGGCGCGGGGAGGGGGGGAGGAGCTGCCCCCCTAGCAGTCTTTTACAGACGATGTACATCAAAGTATTGATATAACGCTCTTTTGAGTGTCATATACCCCCACCGCAGCCCTGAAATCCACACATCAATGAATAACGCAAAGATTGCGGGCAGCCCATCTGACTGAATGATACACCTAATTACATATGATTACAACAACCATTAATAAATAAAATAAGGTATCCAGGACAATGATATAGACTACCCGGAACCCTATAAAATGAAGGCATATTGTGCAATACCTAATGATAATTAACGAACAAAAGACTCAATTAGAAAAGGGATTACATTCAATCCACACGACTCCAAAATATTGAACAAACCTGAATTTATCATGTATATGATGTAAATTCCAAGTGCAATGTCTGGGCTGTCAACTGATTTATATACAGGTATGTCTTAACATATTTATAAAGTTTAGTTCAGAACATTATGTACATAAATGGAGTCATTTAACCTTCAGAAAGCAGGAAATTGCATCTGAGAAGATTTAAGTTTTAAAATTCCCGAGAAAGCACGACCCCGGACCCCCTAGATCATCGGAGGCTTCGCGGCCTCGAACATGGATGGTGCGCCCCCTCACCTATTAAGAAAACTTAACTACGGCCCTGATATCAAAGACTGGGTATTACTTTATTATGGGGTGCGCGATGCCAGTACTGAATGTATGATGTATAAACTGTCTCTACTAAACTGGTCTCGCCAAGTTTGTAAGATCTCTTTTTCAAGTAATGTGTAAGATTAACGTCATTGTCATCTTCTGCATGTGCTGTTTCTGTTCAGGGGGCACGAGTGGACAAGTGGTCCAAGGCGACGTAATTCGCGTCCCTTGGATTCAGTTTCTGCCTTGGGAGGCATAGTCTTTCTCACAGTCCATGAACCATATTATTTTCCCGGTCGCCCTATCTATAATGCAAAAGGGGCGGCGGGGTAGCCCAGTGGTTAAAGCATTCGCTCGTCACGCCGAAGACCCGGGAAAATTCCCCACATGGGTACAATGTGTGAAGCCCATTTCTGGTGTCGCCGCCGCGATATTCCTGGAACATTGCTAAATACGGCATAAAACTGAACTCAATCACTCACTATAATGCAAAAGACTAGATTTTCCCCAGATTAACGTCTGAATCTAACTGTGGCTCTTATAAAACTTAAATAAATGATTATTTGTTTCCATTTAAATGATACATTTTCAGATTCTTAACGTTAATCTAAAGTCGTAGTATGTGTAAGTAACGAACTGGCACGTTGTCGGAAATCTTACACTATTTGTCAAAAGATAAGTATAGTACCTCTAAAGGAATTTAAATGTTAGGCTCTCAATTACTCATACTCATTACTTACATTATACATACCACAAATCCGTGCAGCAATCAGCAATCTGGTCATAAGTGGCGATCAGTCGGGAGGTTAGGCTCGGTGACATGAATGATTTCGTGTCATCGTTCCCAGTCGGTGTGTGCCGACATCACCTCAATGTATGATACATCTTGCAGTATGCGAACCATTAATATTCTTAATGTACCTTAATGTACCTATTTCCAGACATAATATTGAATAAACCCTTCCCCATACAGAAAAGCAGGATTTATATCCGTTGTCAATTCAGCGAGGCTAAGTGCATTTTCAACGGCACTGATTTTCAATGACTGAATAAGTATGTTCTTCCGCCGCTTTTAGCAATATTCCAGCAATATAACGGCGGGGGCCACCAGAAATTGGCTTCACACATTGTACCCATGAGAATCGAACCGGGTCTTCAGCTGCAGCGTGTTGCGCGGACGCTTTAACCACTAGGCTACGCCACCGCCCCTTCCTAATCAGCGGTGCCTGTTTGGTATTTGAACTATGATATGCACGGCAATAAAACCTGTATCCTCTGAGACCGGGGCGGCTCAGCTACTGTTGTTATTTCAGAAGGGCGATCATTCTTGATGCTTGATCTTTCCAGTTTTACGTCAATATATCTGGCTTCAGCTCGAGGCACATTACGTCTACGAACAGTTTGAAGTCTTTGACAACCCGCTTTGTATTCAATGGGTTGATCATGAACACAGATTAATTTCTGTACTGCTTTCACAAAAACATCCAGTATTTCATTAAGTTCCTAATTTGAATGAGGTTCAGCTGATATGGACGTTGATGCTGAATGAAAGCCGATATTGCCTTCATTACCATGCACGCCGTGTTTTGTATTAACAGACTGTTAAGACTTCTCTCATAAGGAACAAATCAAAACACTATTCCAGCGTGCGGAAGGGTTGGAGCAGCCTTTTGGTAAAAGCGTTCGCTCGTCACGCCGAATGTCTGGGTTTGGAACCACACAGTAGACTCATTCCCATGTCCCCTGTCGTGATGTTGCTCAGATGTAGAGGTGTACATCCATTCTCACTCACCCACTCACTCACTCACTCACTCACTCACGGACTCACTCTCACTCACCTAGTCTAGATTCAGTTGCTGAGGGTTCGCGACAATTATGAGACAGATAAATTTTTCTACAGTAATAACGCACTTGGGGGGAACCTTTTATAGAACTGTAGAGTCAGTGCATGTTATCAAACAGAGTCGATTCGTGAACATCATAATTAACATCAAAGTGGGTGTAGACTATTTTACTGGCCTTATGTATCAAAGATGAGTATTAGTTCTCAGTCAATAAATAATGGTTGTAAGTCAAGTTTAGCAATATTCCTGCAAAGGCACGGCATGTTACACTTTCCAAATTGTACCAATGTCGGGAATCGAACCCGTACCTTCAACAAACCGATGTTTCAATCTCAATGCTACTCCACCGCTTGTATGATTCTGTAAAGTCGACTAGAAACCCTGGCATTTAATGAGGCATCTAGAGGCTGTTGAGCAGAACATAAACGTAGTTTAATGGCTGTCCCGAGTCGTCGTTCAGTTCAGTGCTGGTGTTAAGAGCCATTTCCATTCCTGTTATATGACAAGAGTTTGATGAAGGAGCATAATGTTTAGACATGAAACATCGCCCAGAAATTACGAAGACACTTCTCTCCATAAGAGGGCAAGAAATCGACTCAACAATACTTCTCAAAGTTGGTTGGTTGGTTGTTGTTTAACGCCGCACTCAGCAGTATTCCAGCTGTATTGCAGCGGTCTGTAAGTA